GTCTTCTAGAAGACTACTAGATGTGTTATTAACCATGTATTCAGTCATACAAAAGATTGGTAGATCTAAGGGCTGCTGGGCAGTTTAAACTGAAAAATATATGTGTTGCTGGTTCCAACCCAAATGAGTGCATTTCTTATTCTGCCAACAAAAGGTTTCATTTGCTTACTACTGCTCTCAATTACTTGAAGAGGTGGTAATATTTTGCATGCTCCAGCACCATTTTGCATACTACAGTACCAAGTATCGTTGACTGTGGCCACTTGCTGCCAGGATGATCAGCATTTACTGGCATATTTAGGAGTTGGGGTGACATTGACAAGAGTTTCTCCTTCTAGTCCAAAAGAGAGGAAGACCAATAAATCTCTGTTCAAAAACAGCCCCGCAGACAGGTTGGTGGAGTGGATGACAGGCTAGAATGAGGTGGGAAGAAGCACTTTCAGTGTGCCATGCAAGCTCTCCCCATTTCATCCTGCACCCCTGCTCTGTCCCCACCAACCTGGCAGATGATTTGTTTTTGGACAGAGGTCTGCTTGTCTTCCAGAAGACCAGTAGACTATGTTCAGAAACAACTCTGAAATAATTCCTTGGAAGGCTGAAAGGAACGAGCTGAACCAATCCTTTATAAACTGGAGATTGTGACAATTAAAATGTTTCCGTGTCCTGTCTGTTTAAAAGATGGGGTCTATCTCTGAACAACCTCAGGCATATAAATTTTTGAAAGGGTATGTCCTTTTAAATTTACCAGTAATCTACAACTTCCTGTAGATTACCAGTAATCTACAGCTTCCTGAATGAGGTACTCACTGTTCACTGATCTTGTGGGAATACCTTTTGAATCTATCTATCTGCCTGCCTGCCTGCCTACTTTGAAAAACATTCTGATGATAGTAATTTCAGCAAGAAATTACTATCTTTGAATTGGGGGCCTATTGGATTACATAATCTTTGGAATCCTGGCTTCTTTTCTGGGTTAGCCTGCCTGGGTTAGTATAGTTTACATCCCAGAGAGTCTGAAAACTTTGACGTTTTCTAAAATTCAAGAAACAAATGGAAATTATTTCCTGTGTGTTACTGTTGTCTTTGTGGAGGCCATTCTATTCCATTTTCCCCGGAGCTCTGGGATAATTAAAGTTGCCAATTGTTGTTTGAAATAAACACCTAAGAAATCATTCAGTCTCATTCATTTTTATTTTCACATCTGGAATTTAGGAATAACAGATGTAATTTATCCAGATGTTAACCTGAAGCCAGAGGTACAGTGTCCATGTGACAATATATCAACATTCCTGAATTTTATTTTTGAGAATGAAGCATTCTGTGGATCATGGATCTAATGTCAAGCCAGAAAACAGTGAAACAAAAATCTTGCTTATAAAGCA